AGTTTTTAGTTGTTTTTATTTGTGTGTGTGCACTGCTTGCCTCACTTATCACATATCTAGCCCATTTTTGTCTGGTTATAAGTACTCATCCATGCCTAATCAATGCAGCTGGCTCATTAGCCTTCTGTACTTCACTTTGCTTGGCTTCACTTTTGAGCTTATAGTTATTGTCTGTCTGTTAACGAGAATGTATGATATAAATTCATCCAACTTAATTTTTAATTAGCTTTCTATTTCGCCGTCGATCAAACAGGATTATTCAAAGACTGATAATTGGAAATTGTTGAAAGAATTATTTCATTGCACATTCAGTTATTCGTACAAAAATCTGAGTCAGGTGCTGGACTACTAAAAATTTATTTGATTTTGATGTACCTACAGATCGATGATGGAATAAAGCACCAAGATTTTAAAAATTCTATTGCTCTCTTTGTTTGCCCCATACTAAGTATTCCGACGTTTTCACAGTTGAACTCATATATACAGTTTTCTGTATGCAATGATATAAATGACTATACTTTGTGTCGCTTTTTTTTCCCGACCGTAGCTGCTACCTTGACGTGGTGGTTGGGCCTGCCTGTCGTGATGACCCAACCGAGCTATATTGGCTGGAACATATGTTCCTGTAGGTTCTACCATGCCAGGCAGGTCGATTGGATAACTTAGAGACTAAGACCAGCTACTCAAGGTCTGAGGGCGAAGTCGTACTGCTGACTGACTGCAGAGGGGTGTGACAGCAGTAAGATGTTTCCCTCAGACAACTAGCATCTGCAGCGATGCTGCCTCCTCACAAGGAAGGAAGGAAGGAAGGGTTAGAAAAGGTTGACCCTAAAAATGTCACACCTCACCCTACCTCATGGATTTCCGTCTCCTTGGGTAAGGGTGCCCACTGGGGGCTTTCAAGAGCGGAGCTAATACTCAAAAGACCTTTCATAAAAAGGCCGTGCGTGATCGGCCTCAAGCAGTTGTCTCTTGGGCACTGCAGTCACGCTCCCAGGTCTCTAAGATCAACACTAATCTATCTTACTTTTCAGGTCCCTCAAGAAACAACCTTACACAGTGTGGGCAACCCGGAACTGACAACCGCCCTCATACCCGTAACTGCACACGAGACCGAATCGGTCAAAATCAAATCCTTCCTACACCCCATAATTTCTCTCTTCTCTCCACAACTAACTCTACTCACATTCTCTCATCTCACTGCACTGCTAATGCAAACGATGCGAGTTCATGAAACGTCATTCTCAGTTTCTTGGATCCCCGTTCTAGTCTACAAATTGGATCCTTTAATGTACGGACATTGTTTCAAATAGCGCAAACGGATTCCTTATCTAGGACTTTAGAATCTCGTGCCATTGATGTATGCTGCGTCCAAAAGGCTGCGGAAACAGCAGTAATATATGTTAGTAAGGCAAAACCATAAGGCTGGAATGAAGCCGTGGATCTCTGTAGCATCTACCGAACTGATTGATGCTCGAAAACCCATCCCACCTGGCTCTGAGTGAGTTGAGGAGCACATTCAGCTTAGACATAGGTTGAAAAAAGCCTACGCAATGATCGAGAACAGTGGTGGGTGGAGAAAGCGAGAGAGACGGAAAAGGCAGCGGCGATAGGCAACAGCAGACAATTATTTAGACTCATCAAGGAAACTGGTGAGTGAGACTATTTCGGAAAAGGATGGTCTTATTATCCATTCTCAATCCAGGAGACTGGACCGATGGGCAGAACTCTTGAGGGATCAGTTCAACTGGCCTCGAGCCACTCTTCGGTTACTCACGATCTCCAGTCATCCTGAATGGCAAGTCGATGTAAGTCCCCCTAGTCTTTATGAAGTTGAGAAAGCGCTAGGAAATCTGAAGCGAGGGCGAGCTGCATGTCCTGATAGACTGACTCCTGAGATACTTAAGGATGGTGGTCCAGTTTTAACTGCTAGATTGACCGAGATCTTAGGTAGAATCTGGGAACTGGACGTAATCCCATCCGACTGATCTCAATCACTGATTGTCCCAATCTATAAGGAAAGGACTAAGGTCTTCTTGGGGGGGGGGAATAAGTCTAATATAGTATCTAAAATATTGGCCTCACTAATACTCCAACGCCTAACGAAAGCTTTTGAAGAGCAGACTAGAAAAAACCAGGCTGGTTTCAGACCTGGACGTGGTTGCATAGATCACATTTTCACACTACGACAGATACTGTAACACATACACAAACTTAGGCGTCCGACAGTAGTTGTGTTCTTGGACCTTAAGGCAGCATCCGACTCTGTTGATCATGAGTTTCTGTGGCACTGTTTGTCATTGAAAGGTGTATCAGAGAAGTACAATAAGCTTATACAAGCACTCTACTCGAACACCACTGGTCGAGTGAGAGCTTATGGCTAACTGTCACCGGAATTCTTTACTTCAAGTGGTGTCCGTCAGGGCTGTCCACTCTCTCCATTCTTGTTTAATTTTATCATAGACATGCTCCTAGATATAACCTTATCTTCGTCTGAATTTTCGGGAGTAGACCTTTTACCAGGAGGCTCGCTTATTGACTTAGAATATGCCAATGACATAGTCCTACTTGGTGAAGACGCTGACAAAATGCAGAGTCTTCTGACTACCCTGAACAACAATGGAAGCAAGTTCGGGATGCGGTTTTCCCCGTCGAAATACAAAATGTTGCTTCAAGATTGGGTTGCATCGGCACCTGAACTAGTGATAGGGAGTCAAGTAGTCAAGCGTGTAGACCGCTTCACTTATCTTGGGAGTCTCATCACCAATAGTGGCTTGATGTATGACAAAATCTCAGCTTGGATACAGAAGGCTCGATTGGCTTTTGCCAACCTGCATCACTTATGGCGTAGGCGAGATATCCGTTTGCTGACTAAAGGACGAGTGTACCGTGCAGCAGTTCGCTCCGTCTTACTTTATGGCTGTGAAACATGGTCAGTGAGAGTAGAAGATATTCGTAGGTTACTGGTTTTCGATCATAGGTGTCTTTGAATCATTGCTCGTATATCCTGGGACAGCCAAGTGAACTAAGCTGTTATTAGGAAACAGGTACTAGGTAAGAATGGCAGATCAATAGATGAAATGGTGAAACTTCATCAGTTGAGGTGGTTGGGACATGTGTTGCGTATGGCTAACCACCGACTGCCTCGTCGAGCTTTGTTTTGTAGTGTAGGAATAGGTTGAAAGAAAGCTATGGGCGACCTAACAAAAACATGGCAGAAATCCATGAAGTCATTGCCAAGTGGACTGAGTCATGTCGGTAGTTGTCGACTACCTGGTTGCGGTCCGCGAGATGATAAAAATCGATGGTTAGAGACCCTGGATGACAAGGCTCAAAACCGTTTGCAATGGCTCAAGTGCATCCATTCGTTGAGCTCTCTCAAATCCTAATCTTCTGGAATCGTCAGCACCTCTACCTTTGTCTTTCTAACCTTATCGCACCGAATTATACTTCTTGATTAATATCTTCTAATCCTAACCTCTCCTATTACTTGTAATAACTTTACTACCCCTACTACTGTTTGAAATGGATTGACAATCACATCTGTGTGCTGATGTGGTATGGCGATATGAACTGATGTACTTACGTACGAAGTTCTACGTTGCATCTGACTGACTGTGTCGTTTGACATTTAATTGGTGTGTATGTAGATATAGATGAAGACGATGGTCGGTTTTTCCGGTAAACTATTTATCACAGTTGTTGCAAGTTATTTTGTGTTTACCGTTGCGGCTTTCCCGAAATCATTTATAGTGGTTTTGTTAGTTTAGACGCTGTACTTATTCCTCGTGGTCTTGATGAACTGTACTCTCAAATTTTATTCGTGCAGGATAAAACTATCTGTTTTAGGACCTCTTTTGTTGATTGTAGGTGTAGGAGTAGGTTGGAAGAAAGTTAGAGACGGCCAAACCAAAACATGAAACAAATCCACGAAATCACTGACAACTGGACTGAGTCATGTTGGTAGATGTGGGCTACCTGGTTGGAGTCCGCGAGACGTAAGTTAGAGAGAGACCTTGGTTAGAGACCTTGAACGACATGGCTCAAAATCGTTTATGATGGCGCAAGTGCATCCACTCTTTGTGTTCTCTCAAATTCTAATCTTCTGAATTCGTCAACATCTCTATCTTTCTTGTTCTAAATTTATTTAACTGAATTATACCCTTATCTTCTCCATTACCGCTAATACTTTTAATATCGCTACCACTATTCCATTAGAACTGACATTTGCGTCTCTGTGCTAATGTGGTACGGCAAACTGAACTGATGTACATACGTACGAAGTGCTGTGTTTTATCTGTCTGTCTGATTGTCTGCCTAATTATCGGTTTGATAAGCGCTTTTTTAACTCATTTTGAATTCCCAGTGTAATGACGATAACGTAGTGTGTATTCACTTTCTTGAATACTGTTTTTAGACAGCTCATCATGTGAGCCTCTGGTATATTGTTATTTGAGTTGAATATTTGATCAATATGGCTTGGTTTCCGATTAAATGGATTCCCCTTTTTAATCTGATTGGCTCTGTTATTCATTTTATCTAAAAATGGTAGTTTATTTTATATCGTTGAGGACATTGTCCATCAAGTTACAATTTTTTCCAGCTGGTTTTTTTTTGATGATGACTGAAGTGTAGTCTACAAAGCCAATCCAAATTTTTTAGTTTTATCATTTTGGAAATGAGAGTTTCCAATCTCTTAATGACTATTTGACAATCGATCCAATGAGATCGTTGGAATTCTTGCTGATTGTTCATTGTTTATCTGACAATATGTTGTGAAATATTAATCGATGACTTAAATCTGACTTTGAATTTGAAGCTTAACCTCTCATGACACATTCGTATCACACTAACGTAGAGCATGTGCTTGACCATGCTCGATGCCTGTAACATCAATGGGCATCATCAATCAATTCATCTGTGTTCATTTGAATATCACATTGATTTTTACAGAAAAAAATTATTTTTTTTAAACTTATAATTTATATTATTTATCAAAGGTTTAGGAATGAGACCAAGGAATAATTTCAAGACAACATTGATTGCTTATGCTTCATCTGATCCACAAACATATATGCCATTTGTACAAGATATACGTACATTTCTATACTTTTATGAAGAAGTCAATATACAGCCGCAAGATGGATTTGCCACATGTGATAAAGTGAAATCACCAGATGATGTTGATTTAGTGTGTAAATTTTATCCACACGATATGGGTGTTTGTGTGAAAGAGAACAATTTTGGTTATGATCGAAGTCAACCATGTGTGATTATGAAAATTAATAAGGTATTTATTGTGGTATTGTGATTATTTTAAAACCAAAACTATTTGTTTTTTCGATTGTTTTTGTGATACTACTTGTAAGTAGTGTAAATTTCTCAGTTGAAAAATATTCCTACAGATAATGCATGAGCCAAAGATAGAATAATCGTCAATTTCCTGTTCAATAGTTTGAAATCGATCAGATACCTGAAGAGTAGTTGCCAGAATAATCAACTAACAGGAGTCGTGGATGCGCACTGCTGATGAGTCCCATACCAGGACGAAACGGCCGTCCAGTGCTTCCAGGTTTCTAATGGTGGTGGTCAAACAATGATTGATTGATGATTTCAAATGTGTAAAAATGCAAACCTCCAAAACTCTGCCCCAAAATATCGTAACAGTGCTCACTAGTGACTAGCTTCGTGAGGAAATTCTCGGAGTTCTAGTTGAGAAGACGTGACCAATGGAGTTCAACCCTGTCGGGTGTGGGCAGTAACTACCAAAGACAAATGGGTGACGTCGCGCAAAGTCCCTAGATCAATGAGAGTTAGGCATTAACACCATTGGATGCCAACCCAGTGGTCCGATGGTAAGGCGTTCGCCTACAATGCCGAAGGTCCCGGGTTCGAATCCTGGGAGGAGCAGGAGTCGTGGATGCGCACTGCTGATGAGTCCCATACCAGGACGAAACGGCCGTCCAGTGCTTCCAGGTTTCTAATGGTGGTCTAACAATGATTGATTGATGATTTCAAATGTGTAAAAACGCAAACCTCCAAAACTCTGCCCCAAAATAACACTTATTTCATGAGGATTTTTATGATCCTTTGTCAACTTTGATCAATTATTATTGAAGATATTGGGCATAGATAGCACACAGCACACATGAATAAAATTACACAAAGTGCATAAGTGATGAAATTTATTTCGAAACTAAAATTTTGAAATTAAACATGAAGAATAGCCGCCTAATCTAAAAACGCCATGTTCAATCTAATTTGGACTGTTATTATTCTCTCTGTTAATTACAACCCAGCAATTAATTCCTAATGCTTATTATTCTCGGACACCAATTCACTCGAGACTTGAACGCGTATAAATAGTGTAGTGAACGAGAACACAGGTAGGGCAACCGAATTGTATTTAACGAAAATTACCGAGTTACTCAGTAAAATCGGAAAACCATATCGTAAATCGTTAATTTGCAAAATATCAGTTCATCATATCAAACTGGACTGTTCCTGTTGCAAAACATCAATCCATTGTCACTATTCATGCGTTTCATACAAATTCCATTGTTTTCTAACTCTTCCTTTCTTGATGTTCCCCCATCTTCTGCTGCCAGACATTACGTTGACACTCACGTCATATACTACTCATAAGTAGCTCACACCACAGTAGTAGTAAGAAAATTATAAAATACGATAACAAAAGTTTTCTTCAATAGTAGGTCAAACGTAGATAATTAGACTTAAAATCATAATCATTACAAAACATTAAAACCATTAAGCGTAATAAGAAGTGTGTAACAATAATTAGATAGTGAAGAAGAATATAAACGGAGAGTGGCAGAAAATTACAAATAAGCACAGGTTATGAAAAGAATGCTAATAATAAATAACAAAATAAAATTTAAACCAAAAAAATTTAAATCTTAAATCATTAGTTATGCCATATTTGGCCATGGAAGAGATAGGACTGTTACCAATTTCTTCTGAACACATAAATTGGGGTTGAATGTACGAATTCCTATGGCTTCTGCTATGTGTGTAGGAGACGGGATCGAACTCCGTTGGGAAATGATGATGGAGGTATACGATAGATCACCCGAAAAGATCTAGATTTATCTACCATATGACCACTATCAACCAGGTGTGCTAAGATAGAACTGCGTATTATTTATGACTGACCCTTCGTAAACCATGCTGGAAGAAGTTGCCTGGTAGTACGCCCGATATAGCTATCTCCACAGGAGCAGCTGAATTTGTAAATGCACATAGAGCAGGCCAACTCAGGTAACTTATCCTTCGTTTGGGTAGACATCGCTGGTCGACTTGAGAAGGTCGACGCAAGTTTGGCTACATTAAACGTTCTACTAATTACTCTCGTTAATCTGTCCTGTAGAGTATCGCAGGCCACATCTCCGTTGAATTGTAACTTAATAAATAATGGCTTATTTCGAACGGCTGCTTTTTTAGATTGTAAATAAACTTCTTTAAGAACGCACTAGGGTAGCCGATTTCGGTTAGTGAGCTGTTGATAAATTCCAGCTCCTGACTTAAAGTATCCACTGAACAGATCATTTTCGCTCTGCTAGTAGGACATCTAACTTAATTTCTTTTGTAGCGGATAGGTGTAAAACTACAAAAGTGATTGCCGGGTGTACACTGTTGTATTGTTCAAGTAGTTTTTCTTTTCGGATGTCCTGATCTACAATGATGAATGTGTCATCGACGTACCGGCAATATAGATCAAGTTTCTGAATAGCTTCATTAAGTGATCCATTTTTCTAGCTTTTGATTCAATCTATGCTTATACAATAAGAGTTAGTATTACTACTCTATGATAAATACAGTAATCAAAATCATTCATTTTAAGTCTACAAAATGTGTTGCTTAACATTTCTTTTCATAATGCATGCTTACACTTTTCCTACATCAAAATCCACCGTACGATGAATTATTTGTTAAAATACTTAAATTTTTAATGACTAAGTATCTGGTGTTCGAGCATCACTCCATATGCGTCAGATTTCTGACCACAAATTGAAATCACCACTTAGTCATTGTAAACATGAAAAAAGTTCATATCTCTTGTTTCATTGATAAATTGAAATCTTATTCTTATTTAGGTTTATGGTTGGTTACCTGATATTGTGAATAAAACATTATCGAATAATCCACTTGTTAGGTGTCGAGGTCAGGTGAGTTGAAGTTTATTTTGTTTTTCTGTTCACTGAAATATATGAAATGCATTTTACCAGTTTCCACTTAGTGAAGGTGACTTCATTCTATTGCAACATTTGGTTGTCGATCAGAAGTCTGTTATTTATGAATTAACGTAGAAACTTGTTAGGATATTGATCTAATATCTTAAGATAATTATTTGTAAGACTGATTTTATTGGTCAATTCCTATTGGCCGTCCTAACTGTCAGTGTCTCAGACTTCAATGTTGTTTCCTAATCGACTTAACTGTATAAATACGCATTATCTGTAATGTTTTATGGTCCGGACCTGGATCTTTAGTTTGGGATCCACATTCTCTTCTGGACTCGGACCTCATACTCTGTGGATGCGTGTAGAATACACGTTCTACTTCATGCCAAGTCTTCTTCTTTTACTCAATGGGGGGTTTGTGACACTCGGATTAGAGTAGCATGTTGTGTCGCCGGATCATCGATCCTCGCTCTCGTTTTCCGACTAAAGTAAACTTGTAATAATTCAAGCGTATCAGTTGATGTATTTACGTGCATGCGTAATAAAACTAATAAAAATATCAATTCAATTTGTGGTGAAGCTTTGCTCTCTGAGCTCAGAGTACCACAATCATCCACGTGACCTGCGAAATTTCTCCACCTATCAGTTTAACCTACTCTACCATATCATTAAAGTAGGTTGATCTTGATAAGATGAATTGCAAACATTTGAATTCACTTGGTAAACTAGACCGAGAAAACTAAATGATAAGAAGCATAATTGATTTTTATTGATTGTCTGAATCTTTCCACTGATGTCCAAGGCCACAATTGTTCAGTCTCGTTAGTATATGTGTACCCCGTACGAATTACCTACATCATGACTTTAGGTTACAAGGATTATTAGTAGAGGTAGACAAGTGTCTTGTCAGCTGGATGCAAAGCGATGGCATTTGAAGTGTAAAGTACTAAGTTCGAGTCTTGAAGTGAACATCAGTTCTGAGAATTTAGTACATCCTGCTGATAGGAAACACTTAGGAATTATCACATTTAGTGATAAGCCGCAGTATAAAACACAGTCAGTACATGTACATTTGTAAATAAGTTCTTGTGAAAATATATGATAACATTATTTTAGTAATCAGTATGAAGTTGTGGAGATTCATGAACCAATCAATGTTAAACCACAATTTAAAACCACGGGGCAATAAACGACCGTTTCATCCTATTGTGCAACTCCTCAGCCTAGAGCGCTGATGACTATCCTCACGCAATTTTGTGGATTGATTGGGTTTAAATATTTACACCATCAGTAATATATATATATATATATATATATATATATATATAATATCGAATTCAACCCTTACTGACTAAATGTTTCCACCATGTCTTCTCTGTCTAGTTTATTGAGTCACAAAGCGATTTTCAATGAAAACTGCGATTAATATTCACTAATCATTGAAAATGCCTGGGATATGCGATACACTGATGACTACATTAAGTTTCATGTTTATAGTTTTTATTAAACTGTCTGTTGCAATTTTGAAATATGATTTATTGACTTATTCATTTCTTCTTTGCTATCCAACTTGTAAATAATAGAATCCTCAAGATTTGGAAAATTTCGGTGAAGTACTCTATTTTCCTAATATAACTGTAGATGGAGTAACTTAGTAAGTTGAATTTCATTGTATACCATGACATATATACATATAATTCATTATACTTTGAATTTTCTACTAAAAATTCCATTCAGTCTGTTCAAAATCCAATAAAACATTCAATTTTCAATAATGCTTTTATTGCTCATGATCCAATTTATCCATTCTTGTTTAAACAAATGAATAGTAATCACCAAACTTTTAGGGTAAAATGTACGTCTTAGTTATTGAGTCATATTAAATTTAATAAGTGAAGACTTCTATTGTTTGCATCACGGGGTTGTGAAGATTGTTAAGTTACACATTTTTGAAACCATGAACCGATCAATGTTAGACCACCATTAGAAACCTGGAAGCACTGAAAGACGGCCGTTTCGTCCTGGTATGGGACTTCTCAGTGGCGGTGCGCATCCACGACTCCTGCAGCCCGCAGGATTCGAACCTAGGACCTTCGGTATTGTGCGGAAACGCCCTAACCGTTAGACCACTGAGCCGGTATGTAACGGTGTTAATGTCTAACTTGATCAAATTCACAGAGTTGCGCAACCTCATACACAGTCTTCCGTAGACACTGCCTACACCCGAACAGGTTGAACTTCACTGGTCACGTCTTCCAACTAGAACTCGGAGAAGATTCCTCACGAAGCTAGTCACTAGTGAGCACAGGTAATTTGCATTACGTTCGCGCACAATACCGAAGGTCCTGGGTTCGAATCCTGCGGGCTGCAGGAGTCGTGGAGGAGTCCCATACCAGGACGAAACGCCCGTCCAGTGCTTCCAGGTTTCTAATGGTGGTCTAACATTGATCGATTCATGGTTTCAAAAATGTGTAACTTCTATTATTATTGTAGTTTGATTTGTACCACTTGGCCTCAACGAATTCGAAATCACGAAGAAAAGGTGTAACTTAAATGAATGCTCAGGATTCATTTTTATGCGTTGTTTAAATCTCCCTGTTAATCTTATGCATTGTAATCGATCAGTCATTTTTTAGTATGTGTATATTATGTGCTAAAAGAAATTTGACTAGACTTGGATAGTAGGTAGCTGTAGAATTAAGGGCGGCTGTTTCGATCTGTTTCAGAACTCATCAGCTGGAAATACCTACACCGTGATGTTGACGTTCATAACGCGCCTGATCGTTCTGATGATAAATGTAGAAACCAAGGTTGTAGTAGACAATACCGGATATAAACTTACGACGAGACAACGTAAAATGAAGGTGAGGAACAAAAGTGGTGAGAGATGTGCAAATCTATGTGTACGCGTTTCTGTGGAAACATGCACTCAAAGCTACAGTAGTTTATCCGGATCACAAATTGGAGGATCGAATTGATGACATCTGCTGCAATATACTGTTCAGAAGGGCCAAGATGATTGACTGGATCATGAAGCGCAAGAATAAAATTGACATTTTGGATGTAAATAAACGATTTGTACATGCCAAATGACCTGGTTCTTCTGTCCAACGCATAGCAATAAAGGAAGATGAAGATAGCTGGTGTGTCAGCTGGCTACTCGGAAGTAGGCCTCAACATGCATCGGATAAATTGTCTCAGACTCAATCCAACATGTAAAAATCAAATCATACATGATGAAGTAGCATTGGAAGTTGTAGAAACCTGGTCAGCATCACTGATAAACAGAATGGGTATGACACAGACATGAAGACACGGACTAGCAAAGTAAGGGCAGTATTTTTGCAATCGGAAAACAGCTGAAAACAGCTGTCAACCAATCCAAACGTCACAATCTTAAATGTAAACGTCCAGACAGTTTTTCTGTTGTACGGAGCTGAAGTCAGTCAGTCATTTGCAACGTAGACCTTCGTACGTAAGTACATCAGTTCAGGTTGCCATACCGCTTCAGCACAGAGACGCAGTTGTCTGTTCAAATACAATAGTGGTAGCGATAGTAGAAGTATTGGCAGTTATGCAGAAGATTTGAGTTCGGAGATATGATTGAACAGTGAGAAGACGTAATTGATCTGAAAAATGTGATGTATTTGCGCCATACATTTCGTACAGTCTGGTCACACATATGAAGATGAATAAAAGGTCAAATAGATAAAAGTTCAAATAGACATAAGGTGATAATTGTAAATAAAGGAGAGAGAAAATTAACGTAATATGAAAAGAATAAGAAAGGGTAGGAAAATTGTCACATTACCCTAGGCTTAAAGATCACCAAGGTAATCTTTATTCATCTTCATATAAAATGAATTGACAAGTAAATATGTGTGACCGGTTTGTTCGAAATGTATAGCGCAAATACATCACATTTTTTTTAGATCAATCACGTCTTATCACTCTTCTATCAAAATTTATAAAAGGGACTAATTTTTTTAAAATTCGAAGATATGATTCGAGAAGTATATTTCAGTGAGATAAATTTAGAAAGAGAAAGATAGTTGTGATGACGAATTCAGAAGATTAGAATTTGAGAGAACACAACGAATGGATGCACTTGCGCCATTGCAAACGATTTTGAGTCATGTCGTTCAAGGTCTGTAACCGTTGGTGACTTACGTCACGCGGACTCCGACCAGGTAGTCTACATTTACCGACATATCTTAGGCCAATTTTCAGTGACTTCATGGATTTGTGTCATGTTTTGGTTTGGCCGCCCCTCTCTTTCTTCCAACCTACTCCTGCACCACAAAACATAGCTCGTCGCAGCAGTTGGTTGTTGGGCATGCGTAACACATGTCCCAACCACCTCAACTGATGAAGCTTCACTACTTTTCAAAAAAGAGTGTTCTTATATTGATTTTGTATATCTTACGAACAAGGCAGGAATATAACACTGGCGACAGATTAGTTTAGACCTGATTATTATAACTTGTATTTTGTCTGTGAGATGTTTGTTATGAACGTCAATTGATATGCTTGAACTGTTACGAGTTTACCTTAGTTTCAGTAAACGAGAGCGACGATCGATGATCCGGTAATCGGACAGGCTATTGTAATCCGAGCATCCCAAACCCCTATTGAGTTGAAGAAGAAGACTTGATATGAAGTAGAACTTGTATTCTACACGCATCCAGAAAGTACGAGGTCCGAGTCCAGGAGAGTATAAGGATCCCGCAATACGGATCCGGATCATATTTTTACAGTTGGGTCGAATAGGAAACAACATTTGAAGCAAGTGAAATTGATAATTAGGCCGACCAATAGAAATTGACAAATAGAATTAGACTTACCAATAATTCTCTTCGGATATTGGATGAATATCCTTACAATGTTTCACAATCAAGGAGTAATATTGATTGACACATCACATTTCTATCATAGCTTACAAAGTCACGTTACTGAATGCAGCCAATCTGTTGTTGTTGTGCTTAAAGTTTGCATGAAATGAGATCAATAAAATGACTACATGGTTTCATTGAATAATTAGTGTTTTCTATATACTAATGGGACTGTGGGAGATAACAAGTCAGATTCCAGTGGAGGAGGAAATCAGGAAGAAGCGGTGGAGTTGGTGGATAGGACATACACTACGAAAAGCACCCAACTGCGTCACGAGACAAGCCCTCACATGGAACCCTCAAGGCAAAAGGAAAAGAGGAAGGCCAAGGAACACATTACGCCGAGAAATAGAGAAAGATATGAGAGGAATGAACAAACATTGGACAGAACTGGAGAGGGAAGCGCCCAGGACAGAGTTGGTTGGAGAAAACTGGTGGGCGGCCCATGCTCCATTGGGGGTAACAGGCGTAAGTAAGTAAGTAAGTAAGTATGTACTAATGGGGAATATTGATTTGATGATATCACGGTTGTTTATAAGATATTGATGTTCATATTCCATTTATGAACGAATCTATAAAATTTCCTTCTATTTTTTATTTTATTATTCTGGAATTTTTTTTCTTGTATGAACCCTAACGCGCAACAATTCAGCGGTTTCTTCAATCATTTATACTTTCCATATCTTATGCAAGTAGCTTATCGTTCACCACTTGTTGCTGTACAATTTGCCAGTCCTAAACGTCATGTTCTATTAATGGTTCGTTGTGAATTATTCAATATACGTAATCCTGGTGATCCAATGGATTTTGAAATTTTAGTCGATTAACAAAAAACTATTGAATGTTGACGTAATTTAGGCTTATTATTTTCAATTTTTTTTTTTCATATTCGTCCATTGTTGAAATCGATTTGCGCTATTCATCATCATCACTATGTCATAATGTATATAATATGTCTATCGATTCATTATCTAACTTCGAAGTGTTTCTCGACACGACTGATGCCTACCTACCTACAATTCATCTGTTTAATTCATACAACTTTTTTAATCCATTTATTGATTATAAACTAACCGCTACGACATATTTTTCCTGATGAATATAAATTCCCATTTAGCGTGCATGTAATAAATAGTACTTACTGTATTATCATGTTTTTGATGTTAATTAGTTCATTTTGTACAGATAAATTGAAAAAAAAGGGAAAAATACTTTTATTTTTTAGTTCCTCTTTCTTTCAATATTCATTTGTTTATTTTTTGTTATGTCATCAAAAGCGACATTTTTTCGTCTACTGTAGTTTGTTGAATAAGACCAATTATTCACAAACTAAATTGAATTGAAGATTATAAATTTAAGGTGCAGTTTTTGGATTTTTATCTTATTGTTGAGGAGGAGGTTAGATCACTAGAACACTCACTTGATCAAGGTCGTAATTTTTGAATTTTATACATCGGTCGATCAATTGACGTTGAGATTATTACATTTCCCCCCTCCCTGGAATTTCCTCGACTGTCATTGGTTGTTGTGTTATTTTTGTGACTCTCCCAAGGATGTCCCTATTATGTAAAAATAAACTGGATTTATGTGCTTATCAACCTCGCATTTACTGGTTGTTTATAGGATAAACTTTCTACGCCATATCAAGACTTCTTCCCCGATTTAGTGGAGGTTTGGGACAATTGGATTAGAGTAGCCTATCGTGTCACTGGATCATTTGTCTTCGCAATCGTTTACTGACTAAGGTGAACTCGTAATAGTTTCAAGCATATCGATAATTGAATGTCTCCTTCTAATCGATTTACATACGAACATTGTTTGAAAGCATCAAGCTAGAGAGAGGCAACTATAAATTAGTCTTCAGCTTTCACTGATTCAACACAATATGAGGAAATCCATTTTGCTCAGTAAAGTATATCCATTTACGGAAAGTAATCACTTAGATTAAAGACAATCAGTAGGTTTAATATTCAATAATTGTTAGTTCAACAACGATCTTTACACACATTTCATGTTAGGAGCTGATATCTGCAATTATGACAAACTGATAATCCCTATGTTTCGTACAGTGACATATTCCCATACGTTGTTATTGATCTAATATAAATACCACTGACTGGTGTGATTGAAATAAGTAATACTGAAGGATATTTGTTGAGATTGCAATATTTTCACAGTTGAATTCACGAACTGTACCTAGATAGCTTTTTATGGAAAATTTGAAATCATTGGACAGCCGTTTCGTCCAAGTATCTTAGCCTTCAGCAGTGCATATTCACAACCCTCCACACTGGAATCAAACCCAGAACCACTGTCGCGCGAAAATGCTCAACCTATCGATTCCCGAGTGCGGAGTGGTGACTTTGCGATGATAAGCCTTCTGAAACTAGAAACAAACAGCTGTCTAGGGTTTTCAGATTTTCCGTTGTGATATAATTATATCAACTGATCATTTGACAGAAACCAATTGTTTGGTTTTCTGAAATTTACTGTTCAATCAAACCACTCGAAAGTCTGATAGTGATGAATGCGATAGACAGAATCAATGAAGAACAATCCAGATCTTATGAATGATTCAAAATCTCAATAAATACTATGATATTATATAAAATTCAAATTTATTATTTGAATAAACAGCTGTAGGAGTTTATTACTTATGCACGAGTTCACCTTAGTCGGTAAACAATTGCTAAGACAAATGATCCAGTGACACGATAGGCTACTCTAATCGCATTGTCCCAAGCCTCCACTAAATAGAGTAAGATGTCCTGATTTGGCGTAGAAAGTTAATTCTATAAACAGCCAGAAAATACAAGGCTGACAAATACATAAATCCATTTTATTTATACATGATAGAGACTTCCTTGGGAGAGCCACAAATTTAGCGCACGAAAATACTACATCAACCAATGACAGTCAAGAATTTTCGGAGTCGGAAATAGAACTTCAAATTCAACTAACTGATCAGTCCATGCGCGAAAGCATTGAATCTAAAATTAGAATCTTGATCAAGTGAGATCTAGGGATCTAACGTCCTTAACAATAAGATAAAGATCAAAACGACACCTTAAATTCATAGTGTTCTATTCTATGTAAAAAGATAACTAATTACAAGCATTAAGGACAATCATAGTATTTTGATAACGTGTTTTGTTCCATGAAGAATCCTGCAACCTCATGTTCCCGGATTCAAAGCTTTCAAGACTGTCATAAAATAACAATGAATCGTGATGCAGTTTATGTACGTTACTAAATAATTGAAAGTTTTCAGTTCAGTAATATTTAGAACACCCAATACCCTTTACATAAATAAAAATTGATTTCACTGACATTAGCAAATTTAGAACAAAAAATTGAAGAATAAACTTTGCTGATATAAAAAATTGTTCTTAATTCAATAGATATATTGTTTTACGCGTATATTTTATTCATCATCAACTAATCAGTTGTCAATTCCTTTTTCTGAGAAAAGTTTATGTGAAAAGTTAATTTAATACGAGAATGTCCTAATAACTAAAAACAAATATGAACTCACTGGTCTACTCTGTCAGACCATCACTAGAATTCTGTAAGCACCAGATAGGCGTTTCATCCTGCTATGAGACTAACGAAAGTTTACGTCTATGAATTAAGTTACTTGCGATATTCGAACCAAGGACATTCAGTCACAAACGACCCACCTGTAGACCACTGAGGCGTTATCCAACAGTATTGATATCGCATTCAGTAAGAACTATGATATTGTGCAAAAATATTTTGAACCATTTAAACGTAGCCCATGAAGTTACAAGGTTAGGATTAGGGTTGTAATGCCTCATGAAGATAGCCAAGATTCTTCTGGAGTCACGAAGCCGCTATCGAATCCCACAACCAGTGAAACAGTTTATATAGGTACATAGAAGCAATGCAGATGTGATGGCGCAAATCGCCAAAGCTAGAGCTGCATTTCTACGACTGAAAAGCATCTAGAAGTCAAAACAACTATCAACCAACACACCAAAATCAGAATTTTCAATACAAATGTCAAGACAGTTCTACTGCATGCAGCGGAAACTCGGAGAACTACAAAAGCCATCATCCAGAAGAGTCAAATTTTCAAAAACTGTTGTCTACGCGAAATACCTCGGATTCTGTGGCAAGACATCAACAGCAACAACCTCCTGTTGGAAGGAACAAACCAAAAAAGAAAGCAGGAAGATGCTCTAGAAGCGGATAGGACGCTAACTGTGAAAAGCATCGAACTACATTTGTATGCCTATATAGTATAATAACGAGAATACTTGAAGACTCATAAGCAATGTCGACCAACAACTAAACATTCTTGTCTCATATCTTTCAATTTAATGTTTTCAGAAGAGTTTGTTTCGGAAACTGCACAGTCGTCAATAGACGTACTGAACATAGATTGATCTAAGGAGATATTGTGTATTCATTAGAATATTTGTGAATTCAGATGTGACTGAAATTTCATCAGAAGAGCAAAAATAATCAGTGATACACATTCTGCAGTAATGTGTGCTTTAAGCATTCTGAAGGGTAATTATGAAATAAAAAAATTGCAATAGACAGAAGACAAATTCTTATGTCTCACTGTGCATCTTGGCAATCAATACATTCAAATACATTGGCACACGTACAACAAACGTGGCACAAATTTTTATAGCTTGTTAATAAGTGAAATTGCACACAGTAAATATAACAGAGTTTGTTACTATTACAACAAGTGAGTGAAATGGAATTTAAGGTGAATATCACGCTATCATAAGAGGTGATCATTTTATTGAAAATTTACCAAGGATGTTTCTAGATAATAAGAAGCGCTACTATTAGTTTTGTATGATTATGAAAGAGATTATTTGATGGTTTCAATTGTACAGCATTTGTGATTTCAGTCTACTTGATAACGGTTCAATCGCTGTGTTATTAGTGGATTTTGTCGACTGTGAAGGCAGCTCCTTCACTGTTAGACTGACGATAAGAAAGAATTAGCTCGTTGAACGTTCAATAATTGTAAGGCAGAAGAAGAATTATTTACTTTAAGCGACTTATGACTTGTGTGCATTGGTAGTGGCACTAAAGTCGATAACTTGATGAGATTCAATCATTAATTGAGAATGTCTCAAACGCGTAAATGAACACTTGAACAGGAATCCTAAACGTCAAGTTTGAAATGCAATATCATATGACAAAATATAATTTGGGAAAGAAAATATGTTTGTGACAGATACAAAGTGCGCTGTATATTGAACTACCTTTTTACGCTCTGCACAATATTCGTTCACATACGCATACACAAAGCCATGACAGTGTAACTGGAGGAAACCAGACAAATCCAAGTCAGTCGGTGAATCAACAGTACCTGATGACATATACACTGCAGCTCTAAAGTCAGATAAAGATCTACTTCCCATGGTGTTCATCATTCTCTTCACGAAGATTTGTGAGAGCGTCCATTGATGAAACCCTCCAAACCGCAAGACTAAGGTAGAAATGTTAGTATGATTTTGTTGTACTGGATGAAAATTTCGCTGTCACTCAAACTGCATGTCAACAGGCTGGATGTCGTACTGATCTGTCAACAAGCTGTGTTGATTGAATCATTGGTTCAATAAGAAAATAACTGCACAATATTTTAACAGCCCATTCATTAAACTAAAATAATAATTAGAACAACACATATAAGCGAACAATATTGTTTTCGATTAGATCGTCATCAGGCTTTACTCTAATATACATGAACATTTATATGAAAATGTTAAACCAATCAAGGTAATTTGAGTGATAATCACAATGAAATGAAAAAGGCAAAAGTACAAGTGGATAGTAGGAAGATAGGTGAACCGATAGTAGTAAGAAAATTTATAAAATATGATAACTAAAGTAGGTCAAATGTGGATGAATAGACTTAAAATAATCATCAGAAAACATCAAAAACATTACGTAATAAGCAGATGTGTAAAAATAATAATAAAAATAATAAAATTAAAATAAATAAAATATATATAATGTCAATCGTTAGTTACGTCATATCCGGCCACGGAAGAGATACGGCTGTTACGAATTTCTTCTGAACACATAAATTAGGGTTGAATGTGCGTATTCCTATGGCTTCTGCAATGTGTAGGAGACGGGATCGAACTCCGTTGGGAAATGATGATGGAGGTATACGATAGATCACCCTGAAAAGATCTAGATTTATCTACAATGTGACCACTATCTACCAGGTGTGCTAAGATAGAACTGCGTATTGTTTTTGACTGACCCTTTGTAAACCATGCTGGGAGATGTTCACACATTCGTTGTGTAAGTTGCCTGGAAGTACGCCCGATATAGCTATCTCCACAGGAGCAGCTGAATTTGTAAATGCACATAGAGGAGGCCAACTCAGGTAACTTG